ATATATATTATTATTATTATTATTATATATATATATATATATATATATATATATATATATATATATATACGACGAAAACCTAGCGATTTTATCAGTTTATTGTGTAAGGGAAACGCAACACGTACACGCACGAGTCTATCTCCGGCATGAATTAATGCAGCAGTAACAATAACAGACGCGTATAATACATGCACGCATGTACATACACAGTAGCAGACGCCAGTGGTAGCGCGGTATGGTCGTAGCAGTATCAGTCGGTTTGGCGAGCTCTCTCGCTCTGGGGGCGTTCATACACAAACTTAGCAAATTAAGGAAAACTCGGGTTTCATTTTCCGATGCCATAATCTCGATTGATTTACTTTCTACTGCGCGAAAAGTTTGAACGATTTAGAAACGTAACCCCCTCTGCCCCGTCTTGGGAACACACCGCCAGTGTACTAGCAAATAGAGATATGAAATAGAGTTGTAACCGCACCCACGTGAACGATTTTGATTATTTGCTCGATTCCGTGGTATTTAAAAAATCGTAAGATTAGTTTAGTCTGTAAGTGGGTGCCCGAGTTTTCGTAGCACTTTCAATTTCATTTCAACGCAAATTTTATTTTGTTCACGAATGTATTTATCATCTAAGCATAATGATTTTTAACATTTGGCATTCTTGTAATTTTAGCTAGCAAACGAAAAGTCACTTACCGCTATTCTACATGTCAAATAACTGTACAACCACGAATAAAATGAGAGGAAAATAACAAAATTCCATTTAATTTTTCATCATTTCTTTATGAATCATTCATACATGGGCAAATATTTGTCAGAAATTAATGCGTAAAAATAGAATGACCAGGTCACAGACCCTTCCTTACCCGCTGGAAAATGCTCAACGTTTCCCGCAGGGTTGAGGTGGGATTAATTCCAGGTTCAGTGCACCTGCTCTAGCACCACCTTTGTGAAATATTTCATGACGTTGATATTGCGGAAGCCATAATTTTTTAATGGATTATGACTCGTCTAAATGCTGAATCACGGTTGCTTCAAACTCTGGCTCTGCCTAGAGTACCTACACGTGCGAGCATGTACTCACCTCAATTACTGTTATTGTTGCGCTATTTTATCCCCGCATTACCGTGACTTCTATTTTTAATTTCGTAATTTTTAAACTTTTACGATTTGGCGTTTAAGCCTACTTTGATGTTCAGAAAATCAAGGCGAGTATATGCGTGAAAAATAGATCAGAGTGATGCGAGAGTAGGTGTGATGAGGGTACGGATCCAAAAATATTCAAAGGTGATTCATTACAAGGATTGCTTCTATACAGCGACATGTTGGGGTGGCATCAGGGGATACGCAGGATGGTGGTGCTACAGTCATACGCGCATGTGCGGACCTTATTCCCCTTCCATTTCCTGGGACCTTATCCTCTCAGCCTACTAGGCCTTTATCTTCCTCTTCCGCCTTCTGGGACCCCCGCCTCCAGTGGCCTGGGACTTTATCCCCTTTTCTATCTAACGGGACCTTTGTCCCACATTTCGGATAATCTCTGGGTGTAATTAAGAGCCAGAGCAATGTGTATGAACTGCCACAATCGGTGCTCTTTAGTCGATGCTATCGTCAGCTCTGTTTCGCGTTAAAACGCTTTGTAGGAAATCCAAAAAAATAAGTGTTTAATTTTTCACGAAAATGTTTGATAAAATGTATCTCAAACATGTCAAAAATGTGTGTTGGGTCGGGTGGTGCATCATGCATACACCAGTGCACCTCCCTGAACTGCCACAAGAGCCGAAATATCGCTAATGAATATGCTAATAACGGCCGCTAATAATCTCAATGCAAAATTACACATCCGTGGCCATGTAATAATGTGCCATATGAACGGCATGTGCCACACACACATGCGATATATATGTATGTAATTACCCTACACGTTATTATTTTCGTGCGAACGCGACCACCTTGCTGTTTCGCGTGCCTGACAACGGTTGGCAATCAACCGCGGCGTAGGCACGTACATTCAAGCAGACGAAATTTGTGAGCAGAAAATTTTGCGAAAAAAAATAAATTAGAACGTCAATGGAGGTGATCAGGCGAGAGTAGGCGCTCTAGTGCGAACTATCAACGCACGTGTTACCCCGAATGTATAACTACAGAGAGAGATAGGTCAACGAATCCTCGATTCGTGATGATGGGGGGATGATGGTACACCGCATTACGTCGCCCGAGGGAGGGCCTTTTCTTCATTCTTTCAGCGGCGAAATTGAACGTGTAAATGCGATATCATTTCTGGTTTTAGTTATAGGAATTACAGTTAGGATTGGTGTTAGAATCTGTGGTCAGATCTGATTTCTTCGGACCCCCTCCCAATGTCATGGTTATATGATTAGACAATGAGTGGATAATAGAGAGCTATTATTTATTATTCTATTATTTCTTTTATTATATTCTATTATTTATTATATATTATTATTCATTAATCTCTATTATCCACTCCTAATTAGATGATGCATGGTTGGGGATGAGGTGACGATATATATTATAGTAATGATGATTATATTTGCACAATTTTGGTTTGGGAGCCCCCGCGGCCCTCATTTACGATTCATGATATAGGCCTATGCAACAATTTGGCTGCAATCCTAAAGCAGAACTATAGTCTATAGACGTGTAGATTTATACAAGAATTGATAAATGCAATATTCGATAACATTGTTAATTGTTTTCCTGTCTACATCTATCCAACGTTATAATTTATATATGCATATAAAAGCAAGGAAAGCGGGCGCGTGCAACCGCGGCAACGCGGTGTACCACGTGATTCTTGTGTTGCGGGCAATGCCAATCGCCCATCGCGAATGTAATGAATAGTCTGGTGAATAGTTGTTGGTGGAAGGGACTGCAGCAGGATAAGCTATAAGTGAGTAATGTAGCACTACCAGACGTATGGTCAGCTAGGCAACTTCATTTGCTCAAATTGTGGCACATGGGACGTAAACTTAAGTGGCTATTTACGCAGTGATGACTAAATTATTGTTATCTGCTACCAAGCGAGTGGATCAGTAAATGTCCGCTACTAGCATTGGCTACATGGCATGCTGTACACTGACACTGTGCACGCGCGTTCTATTTTGTCTCGGGCGAATTGCGTAGCATATATCCACTCTAGAGGATATTTTCATTCCACATCAGTGCATGAGGATGGACACATACCACTAAGAGAATGTCAGTGCATGTTTATCACTAGCATGATCATGACTTCATTTATTGATAGACTCCTGATGACATAATATATATCATCGCGGTCACCATTCATCTTTCAAACCGAACGAAGTAAAACGGTAATGACAGAAAGCTGCTGCTGTTTTCACGAACCGAAAATAGCCATGGTTATAAACAGACTGTCAGTTAGAACTATTAATACTACCAAATATTCTGAATATCAACAAATCCGGTCGAGTTAACCTGGTACATGCTACCTTTCTAGCAACAGAGAAACGGATTATTGAAAGTGAAATCTACAAGCTGTTGGCAATATATATCTCAAGAATGTAAACATCTACATGTTCAGCCAATACATGTTTGTGAGGGAAAATACACACAATTAAGTTACGTTTTGAACGAACAGGGGGCCAGTGATCAAAATACAAGGAAAATAGGAAGGTGCCTATATATACAACATCATTACATGGCTATATAATGGTAGGCGTGCGCTGGGAGAGGTGCAAGTTACACCAAGTTAACACCACATGGTAAGCGGTGGATGGCTTTACAGAGACAACCCTCTACCTTTGAATGAAGGCTTTGTATAGCTGTTGCCTGAAGGAATGTGCAAACTAGATCTATCATAAGTGTCTTAATTTATTTATATGGTTCTGTATAAACTGCATCAGTGATTGAGTCGTAACAGTTATGATTCAATAGAACAGATTTACAGGTAATTGGTTGAAGATGATAGGATGAGTAAGTGAGTGGGTGACTTAAATTGCTGGATAATGGAAACCCTGAGGAAGGCAGTTTCAGTTGTGTTTTCGTGGTATTTATTGTTTTGCAAGCCTAATGAGAATCCAATGCTTTTAAGACTATTGTGTATGTAATAGCAGTACCCTACAGCACGTACTCTTACATGGCAGCATTGAAGAAAACACATTATATATACTTCTCATTAAAAAAAACCAATTAATTAACACTGGTCCTCCAAGCACCATGTGTGACAGTTCTAAGTCAATATATCTTCTAGTGACATATATATATATATATTGCATCCCTATCTACTTCTCTATTCTATAATAGCCTAGGCCTACTTCTCTATTAGAAAACAGCAGTGCACATAGTATATGTCTTTAGATTTCACCTGTGCTGCTGTTATTGATCGATTTGTGAAAGGGTATAGGATCACTGACACATATTATATTCAATTACATGTACTCCGAAATTGCAATGTGTTGGTCAGCTGAAACAGACACAGGAACTAGCAATATAGCACAAACGTTTGTGGAAGTATAACTGAGAGAAATCTAATGCTTTTCATGATTAAGGTTTTAGTGTTCTGTGTTCTAGCTGTGTGTTCTAGCTGTTAGTGTAGTAGTTTAGGTTTGTGATTTTTAATAATGGTTGAGCGCATGAGCTGCAATGATCAATTTGTGCAGTGCCTACATTACTAATACTATGTAAAACTGAATTTCCTAGCATGTGGGGGATGAAACGTTTTAGTTTTAATATTGTCCCAAGTCATCATAAATGTTGTATCTTTACTTTAGCCAGAGAGACCAAATAGTGTGCTAAGTATATATATATATTTATATATTAGTTGATGGCATTGCAAACATTATGTTTGGAGAGTGCATGGCGGTTTACCTAGCTTTGTTTGAAGTCGCAAGGACCGTACATGTGCGCTAACATCGTTGTCTTGTCTATCACTTTCAGAGATATAACCATGAGATAGAACTCGCAGTCCCAGCAGCATTGTCACCATGTTGAAACCAGTAGCTTCAGCGAACCTTGGTCATTCCAACAAGCCACCCCTCAGTCCGAAGGATCACCACAGCTTATATCCGTTTGGCTTGAGCAATGACCTCGGAAATGCATTTGTGATCATCAAACCTTCAGAGAAACACAATGAGAATCTGCATCAAGATGAGATTGGTACTGTTTCAGTTATGATGCAATTTATGTCTTCTATTGAGATAAACTTAATTATTGTTCTTAAAATATATATTGGCTTAAATCGGTTGGCTGTCATATCAGAATTACATCAGAACGGATAATCCGATTATATTGACTATTTACTATGTGCCGAAAATGACGAGAATTATATGAAAACGTTGTGTATATAAATGAACATAATATCAGCTCAGTATTTTTCAGGTATATACACATGTTAATCATTTCATCATACATTTACTCGTGACCTACTAAAATATGCTAATGATGCGCGTGTCACAGCTATTTACTCGGGGAACATAATTATATATGCGCAATAAAAATGGCACCTCACTTGCAGGTATTACAGTTCATCCCCCGCACGGTCTGTCACACTCCCCGGTGTCTAACGTGCGGTCCGCGACTCCACTTACGTTGCTCGTGCCGAAAAAAGTGGAGCTGGGACACTCGAGCCAGTCCCTTACCATGCGCAACTCTCCTAGGTAAGCTTTAGTGGCGCTCATAGGGTGTATGTCGATCCTCCAGGGTAATGCCGGAACGTACCTTGGGTACGGTCCGGTATACCGGAACGTACCCTGGTAACTATGTGGTTAGGGTTAGGATTTAGGGTTAGGGTTAGGGTTAGGGTTAGGGAGTATAGGCGTAGGCGACTCCCTAGACTCGTTAGTGGAGTAGGCGAGGTACGGTCCGACATATTAGATAGTACCAGGGTACGTTCCAGTATACTGGACCGTACCCAGGGTATACGTTCCGGCAGTACCCTGCGGGAGATAGACCCTCTCAGCTTTAGTGGCCCTGCAGTCTACTCTGTGGTGGATAGTAAGAGGTCACCGGTATGCTACTTTAAGAACGGTACGTACTAATGAACCAATTATGTTAATTATAATTTTATTTTAAAACGTGTGCTTTATGTAATAGAATAGAGAGATAACGTTGATATAAACTAAGCTCGAAGAAAAAATCATATGAATTAACAATAAGGGCATTTTGTTCGTTAGTATAATTTTTGCGTGATATATTTGAAATGTACACCAAATATACTTTATCTAACCGGTATATAATGCCAGAATGCGAAATTGTGTGAATTCCATATTTCCTCTTATTCGTGGTATTTCTCAGACTCTTGAGTGCATCCTCCTCCATACTTGATCTATCTGTGGAGTCCGAGGCACTGGAGAGAGCTATACGAACCAATGAGACGTCCGTCGTTATAAAGATGCTGGAGGTAAAAACTTGGATGAAATAGAGGCGAATCGCCTCACAACTACTGTGTATCACGAAAGCCATTTTGCATATCTGCATAAAATCAATGAATGTAGTTATCTTTTTATTTATTTTGACATTGATATCCATTGACTTGTTCAAGGTAAGCTTACCCCGGATCTATAGTTTAAAATTCTGTCTCTCTAGAGAACTTTAGATGGCGAAAACGTAGGGGTATACATTTAATTGGCTGTTATATTATGAAAGGTTTCGTTGAGAAAAAGTGCATCTTTCAGAATTTGGAGAACATTGTGAACTCTGGTAGAAGCAGAAATGATGGTTACTAAAAACAGCAGAGAAGTGTATATATATATATATGATATGCGTGTGTACGTACATACGTACATACATACACATATGTATATAATACACACATCTGTAGGTCACATTGTGTGAACATAGAACATAATAATGACTCGGTTTATATTCTTTAAACGATGGAAAATATTTCAGGTGCACCACAGGAAGTTTGCCATCAACCCCCACGCGCCGGTGTACCTTCGTGCGAGTGGAGACAAGAGCAGCACCAGCAGTTGTGACTCACGGAGTCAGTCCAGTAGTCGTGCAGGGGATGCACCGCCGCCCCTGAAGAAGACGCCCAACCTCCCCGAGAAAACCTACCATATCTCGGAAAAGTAAGTCGAACGGTTACGCATGTGCTTACCCCGTCTCAGGAAGTGGAAACGAATGTTGTGGTGTTGATCTTTCTAGCGATCGTTTATAGAGTGGAGACTCTATAGACTGTAATTCGTGACAGAATTTCAGAATTTTAAATGAGCAAAAAAACACAGGATTCAAGTTTCTATTTCTAGGTCTGTGACAGTGTTCCCTGCTAACGTGCAGTATATTTTCACCGCTCCCATTGTGTGCTGGTTAGAATGATCTATGCCAAACGATTCAGTCAACCAAATTGGTCAAATTTTTCTGTGTATATCTGTAACAGTTGTTCGATCTTTCTTTTCACTATTTCACATTCATGATAGCAGTATACTGACCTCACAAACTCAGTTATCATGGGGGGTTTCTTCCATTGCTACGACAGTTGTACGTTGCCATGGAGACCACGCTAATCCCAATTACCGGACATTGTTACGTGCACAAAGAGTGTGTACCAATCAGTGAAAAAAATACACGGGGGCTCGGGCCGATTTAGCCCCCGAAATGCCAAAAAGAGCCCCGGAAATGCAAAAAAGAGCCCCCGTAAATTTGCATAGAGTTCAATGCAAACCAAATTTTATAGTGCTATTTTCATGCACGCGAGCTTGAAAAGTAGCCCCCGAAAAATACATTTTTTTCCTGGTACCAATCATCAATGCGTTTGTGTCACGGCGTATGTTTTTGGTAATAAAAATGTACTAACAAGCAGGCGGTGTCAGTTTTGAAATCTAACACGGATGTGATTTTTGAGGTCTTTCTTAGAATTCTATTCTAAATTTACATGCTGAATGTTTTGCAGTTGAATCATCATATATCACATTGTGTGCTTAATATGATTTTAAATACATATATATGCTAATTAAAGTTAGGCTATTTTGCTTAACAGCTCTGTGGAATTCTAGCACAAAAGGAAAGAACCAAGATAATTTAGCTTCAAGCAATGTATTGCTCAAAATATAGAAGCAAATATATGGAATAGAAAAATTACAGTCTCGATAACATGCAAGTTAGCAGCGAAACATTTACATGTAAAATGATTAAAATGACATTACTATAGAGGTCATGCAGATTAGACATTAACAAATTAGTTTCATGGCATTTGACACTTCTTCTTCTTCTTCTTCTTCTTCTTCTTCTTCTTCTTCTTCTTCTTCTTCTTCTTCTTCTTCTTCCTCTTCTTCTTCTTCTTCTTCTTCTTCTTCTTCTTCTTCTCTGGTCACTACACTACACTCGACCTATAGCCACTGCAGCACTATCGCGGGTGAATAACGAACGATGTTTGTCAACATAAAAATATTTGTAAAATAATGACAATATTTGTCACTATTCACCCCTGGCGTATATCTATCTATTCGGGATGAGTGCATGTTTCGCTGGGGCAGTCGGAGGATGGAGGAGGAGGAGGAGGAGGGGGGGAGATAGTACGGGTCACCGCCTGGGGGCGTGTCGGTAAGTGATTGCGGTGAAGCGGCACATCACGGGGCCGATACTCGTAGAGCGGTCATCGGCGTCGGTCACTCGTCACGCGCGCGGCCAAGCGAGAGTTCAACGTCTCGCGATGGCCGGTTGCCCACCCTACTACCGCGCTTTCTTGGCTTCCTTTCCACTGTATCATGCTCCGATGAGTACTACGCCGATGTGTGATTTATAGTAGCAGTCCGCCCAGCAGGACTGTCACACGCAGTCAGTATACACGGGAGTTGATATATGCGTTCAGCGACGCTAGTAAAGCGGGTTTAACGGGCAGTGAGAAAGAAGCCCAACGTCAACAGGCAGAAAGAAGCCCTAACTTTAAACGTTTATTTATCTTTAGTCTTATCTCGACGCAGACGGTACCCGATAACAACAGAAGTGTATAATATATATATATATATATATCTATTATGCACTCCTGATAACAAGTTATAGAGATGTGCTGACCAAACAAAACAAAAACTGATATTAGAAAATTCATCTTTGCGGTCCGTTAGACCATGTCCTCAGAAAATGTCTGATATCTGACCTTTCCCCCACTGCCCTTTGACCTGGGACCGTCCATTTCGCGCTGGTGATGGGTTTCCTCCCATCACACTATACATCGATATTAAAAGCGTATATAGGTCGAGCCTTTGAGATTTGTGCAGCAATTCCTTATTTCCTCGCATACCTTAAGTTAAGGGGGAAATATTCCCCTCCATTACACACCTTGACTTTGACCCTTGACCCCCAAATTCGACATCCCAATCCCTTTTCGCGATCCCCCCCCCCCCCCCGACGTTCGATATATCAAGACCGTACGTCGAGCGGTTAAGATTTGTGCCGCAACTGTTGACGGACGCACGGACGGACGACGGACGGACGGACGACGAACGGACGGACGGACAACATGCGATTCTACAAGTTGCATCTGACTTCGTCAGCTGAGCTAATAATAGCAAGACCTAATTCAATACTTTCGACAATCGGGCATTTTTCTAAATTTTAATGCAAGAATATGATCAAAGTGGGACCCTGGATAATCCCTGGGAAACTAGACTAGTCCCACGTTTCATTTAATCCGCCAAAATGTCTGTCATTTAATTACTCTCACCCTGAAGCATGATAAACTTATACTACAGTGTGTAACGACTGGATGAGCAGCTTCTAAATAAAACTGTCAGTGTGTATTCAACATGCTATCCTGCAAAACGTATAATTGGATATATATATGACAGAAGTGAAATCGGATCACCCGCGCACGCACGCACTCACGCACGCACGCACGCCGCCGCCGGCACGCACGCACGCACGCACGCCCACACGCACGCACGCACGCACGCCCGCACGCACGCACGCACACACACGCGCGCGCGCACGCACCAGCACACAACACACGCACGCACGCACGCCGCCCCCCACACACGCACGCACGCACGCCCCCCCAGACACACACACACGCACGCACGCACGCCCACACGCCACGCCACGCACGCAGCGACGCACACACGCACGCACGCACGCCCACACACGCACGCACGCACGCACGCACGCACGCACGCACACACACACGCACGCACACAGCACACACACACACACACACATACACACCACATAAGACAGTCAGCGAACAGAGATGTGCACGTAGCTATAACCACGCAAGACATATCTGGGCAATGACGTTAATAGCTGGCGCACTTCTAAGCATTTCCTTCCTCCTTCATCTTTTTCTGCCAATTTGTTTGCTTCCATTCAGTCTCATAATGTTCATAAGTGCATAGGCAAATATACTTCAATTCGGATGCGCATTCATCCAGCCAACATGTCTCTCCTATATATATATATATATATATATATATATATATATATATATATATATCAGAGTAGATAATAGGGATTCCCTATTATCTACTTCTGATATTACTAAGCCTGTGATCTCAGCACCATAGGATTTGTTCTGAAAGCTGCTTACGAACCTAAAATATTGTAGTGACGTGTATAAACACTAGCAACAAATTTACACCGGAAACAATGTGCCTGCCATGATGCTCAGCTCAAACTTGCTGTTCTGTTGTACTGACTGTAGAGCTTAATACCCCGTACAGACTACGAATTTGATATGGTATTAAACTAGCGTGCGTAAGGCTCGCGATAAATATTTGCAGTGTGTACATGCTATCCCGCTCCAAATACGCGCTGGCCCACTCCCAAGTTAGCCCGGAAATAAAGCAGGGCCAGGCCCGGGCTAACCTATACGGCGTTCACAACGGTAATGGTTTGGCTGAGCTAAATGGGCTAAATTTGGCTCAGCGCTAAATTTGGCTCGGCCGGTTTGAGTCGGAGCGTTCAACCGTACGCAAGTGAATACTGTCTGTCAAATTCAAAAAATTTTATTGCACAAATATCTCACAGATACTTTGGCAGTATGTCGCGAGATGGCGTTGTGTACGATTCAGTGTTTACTTCTGTTCCGAATTCAATTATCAATCTTAAAAACATGTATCCTGATAAAAAAATTCGAATTTTTATACTGTTTTGGACTTTATTTCGTCGAAGTACACGTTTCTACATCAGCGAAGCAGCATCTACCGCGCTACCGATTTAGCTGGTGCTAAATTTTGGCTCGAGCCTGGTCAGACGTTTTCGATTGAGCCAAATTGGCTCGTGCTAACTCGCACGGCCCCGAAAAACCGTCCGTGTGAACGCTGCGATCGGCTTCGAGCCAAATTTGGGCGGCGGGCCTAATTAGGCTCGGCTAAAAACGTACGTGTGAACGCGCCTTTAGTCTGGACTAAGATAGCCGCGTGTGTGTGTGTCTGTACACAACAAGCGGGCCAGACCGATAACGGCTAACAGACGGCTAACTGATAAATCGCAATATGCATGCGCATAGCCTTATAATTGGTCGCGTAATTGTACGATCGCTGTACCTCGCTGTCTGCGGGGTGACGTGGCGAGCAGGTTAAGCTAACTAAGTTAGCCCGGGTCTGACGCGCGCTAAAAATCGTAGTCTGTACAGAGTATAAACACGAGACTGATAATTTTCTTCTCAAATAGCAGCCTTTTCTACGGCAATTGTTTGTGCAAACATGTCGAGAAAAATTTCTAGAGAGTTCTATTTCATTGGCTGCTATTAAACATTATACTGTAAGGAAGGTTTTTATTGACTTTTATAAAAATGTTAGTTTATTCTAAATTACAATACGCATCGTTTAGTCGGCAGTCCAACCCCA